CATTATCTACACAGGCCTTGCCGGGGCCTGGTGTCCCCTCCACAACCCCCCACCCACCCCTGTCCTGTCGCCCCAGGCCCGGTCTCCAAGCCCCAGCGAGGAGGATGAGTGGGTCCTGGAGGGAAGCCATGGGGACAGAACGCAGACGGGCCCTGCAGCGGAGTCGGGAAGCTCAGCACCCAGGCCTGCGGCTCTGAGGGAGCCTGGGCCCACACACAGGCCCGCCCCGCCTTTGTCTCCCTGGACCCGCACGAGTTTTCCCTCATTTGGAGGGCGACCCTCTGCCTCCGCGCTGATTAAACATCCCCTGGCCTCATTCTGACCCCCGGGGGGCACATGACCGCCCACCCCCTTCTTCCTCTGAGAGGCCTGGAAAGGGATCTAAAAATAAAGTGCAGAGAGCCTGCCCGCTGCTCGGGCGCTGGCAGCGCGGCGCGGGCCTATCTCTCCCGGCGATAAGGCTGCGAACAGCCTGTTATCAGCCAGTCGCTGGAAATGTGCGCCGGTCTGATTAGGCCGCAGTCTTTGCCAAGGTTATAAACAGCCGTTATCGTCCTCCCGAACAGAATAATCCGGACAGTATCAGCTCAGAAACATATGGGCCACACAGAGAAGATAGCCGCTGACGGACACTTCATTTTAATTGTAACGAGTGGGTCGCCGCAGACGGCAGGCAGCGCTGCCCGCCTGGCAGCGGCCCCGGCTTTAATCCCTCGTCCTCGCTGTTCCAAGGCCTGAACCGCGGGTGCTCCGGGCCGTGAGGACAGGCCCGCCCTGATGTGCGGTCACCACGCGTGGCCCTTCCCTGACAGGCAGGGGGGTCTTCCGATTCTCTTACAGAAAAAACTAAAAACAAAACCAGCACGAGGGGGGGTTGGGGGGACTCCCTCCCTTCAGCCCCCACGTCCAGGTCGGAGCCTGGCCTGTCACCGCTTCACCTTGTCCCCCACGGCCGCGTCCTCAGAACCCCCGGCTCAGCCGTCACTGACGCCCCTTCCTCTCATCCCACGGTTCTCAACATTTCCAATAATCACACACCCTCAACGTGGCCTCCTGTCCTGCCCCCTCTCTGCCCCCCTCTCCTTAGAGCCTGGGCGCTCCCCTTTCACAGAGAGCCAGGCTCAGCCCCCTGCAGCCAGTGCAGGGCCGCCCTTTCAATCCCACTGGTGGCTTCCTGATCCAGAGGAAGGAGAGGAGGGGGGAGGAGGGGAGCCACCCACCACAGCCGGACCCCTTGTCGGACACCTTCTCCATTCGGCAGAGATGGCGGGCGCTGCCGCTTGCCCAGGAGGACGGGGCAGTGAGTGTATTCCCTGAGCACCGTGCCTGTGCCAGCACCAGCCTGACATTCTCCATAAACCTGCTGATAATCCTCAGCACAATTAATGCCACGATCCCACCTACGGGACCTCCTGGCTCAGCTACGCAATCCCAGGGTGCCCTTCGTCCTGCTCACCCCCAGGGAGCGCTGTCTCGGGGCCTCTGGTCTGTGCGGTCCGCCACCCCATGGACCACAGAGCACTGCGGCCTCAGCTGCCACAGCCCACCTTCCAGTGGAAACCCAGTCCGCGGCCATGCTCCTGTGATCGCAGCACCTGCCAGGGGGAGAAGGCCTCTGCTGCCGCTGAGCTGAGCCTGGGCACGTTTCAGTTTTAGTTCCTTTTTTTTCCGTGACTTTTCAACACCTGCCTTGACTCTTGTGCTCTCCCAACAATATGGCGAGGATGTGGCCCTGGTTGTCAGGGCGATGTCCTGGTGGGCTGGGGGGGCCTGGTGGGCTGGAGCAGGGGGCCTGGCGGTC